CGCGGCCCCGCCCGGCGCTCGCAAAGCGGGGCGGCTGCGCCAGCGACACACGCTCAGGCTTAAATTCTGTTCCCTTCTCCTCTGCCCGAGTTCTTTCCAGTCACAAACCCCTCTCTTTTCTTTTCCTTCAGCATTGTTGGCGATTTCATATTGTGCTTTATGGCTATAAACTTGTATAGCAACAAGCCTCTCTTACTCTCATGTGGCTTTGCCATCGCTGTGGTGAACCTGTCTGCTATTTTTGGCTGGGATAGAATTAATTTTCTTTACATCAGCTGGTGTGGGGCTCTGTTTTGGATCTGCCCTGAACACAGAGTCGGTAATGTAGAGATGGTTTTGTTATTGCTGAGCGGTGCTTACACAGAGCCAAGGCCTTTGCTGATTTTCCTAATGCCACGCTGGCAAGGAAACCGGGCATGCATGGGAAATTAGGAGGGGACACAGCCGGGACAGGTGACCCCTGCTGACCGAAGGGATATTCCAGACCATCTGACATCATGCTCAGTATATAAAGAGAGGGGAAGAAGAAGGAAGGTGGCAACATTAGAAGTGATAGCCTTTTACTTTCCCTATAAAACTGTCTTTTTCTCAACCCACAAGTTTTCTAGTTTTTATGCTTTCAGCTTCCTCCCTGATCCACTAGGGGTAGTAATAAGGAAAAAAGGAGGGGGAAAAAGATATACAGTATCTTTCTTTTCTAATTTTTATGTCTACAGAGTAGTGATGCTATAATGTTTCAATCTCAAATAGTTATAGGTTGAAGACAATATAACTATAATTTTAATATGTGAAACCCTAAAGTGGAAGGCTGTGTAAATTTTACCACAGTAACATGACAGCTATAGAATAATGGAACAAAATAGTTTGGAAGGAACCTCTGAGGTTATCCACCCAACCCCCTGCTCAAAGCCAGCCCAGCTTGCACCAGGTTCCTCAGGTTCTTGCACAGCTGGATTTTGACTAGCTGCAAGAATTGAAATTTTACGCCTTTACTGTGCATCTCTCTCCAGCCTGTGACCACCTTCATGCC